ACATTCCTTTTGTTGCAATAGCCCAGAAGACATACACAGAATTCTTCTTGTGTGTCTGTTTATTTTAAGAACCAATTTCTCTTGGGACGCCTGGGTGGCTCAGTCGGTTAAGCGGCTGATTCTTGACTTCACCTCAGGTCATCATCTCACAGTTGGTGAGTTCAAGCTCCAAGTGTGGCTCTGCACTGAATCCCAATCCCTGCTTGGGATTCTCTCTCTCTGTCTCTCTCTCTCTCTCTCTCTCTCTCTCTCTGTCTCTCTCTCTCTCTCTGTCCCCCTCTCTCCCTCCCCCCACTCGCTCATTCTTTCTCAAAATAACTTGAAAAAATAAAACTTTAAAAAAAGAACCACTTTGTCCAGTCTCTGCTAGTTCTCAGCTCACTGTTTATATCAACATCTGGCAGTCACCCTTTCTCTTTTATAAATTTGAATTAGGCTTTCTTGAAGATGCTTCGATTCCTTTCACTCCATTTATTTAGATTTATTTTCCAAGTAAATTGTGCTTTTATTAAAGGTGCTCACTGTGGCCTTTGCCAGTGAACTTCTGTACTGTCCTTTGTTGCTTCTGAAACTGTATCTTTATTTTAGAATTCAGGTAGTTGTTTTGTTTTTTTTTTTTTCCCCTTGGATGATCCCCTTTTTTTTTTCTGTGTGTGTTGCTTATATTTCATAACAGTAATGAATCATAGCACATGTTGCAGTCCTTTGAGATGATACTTGGGAGAAAGAAACGGGTAAGAACATCAGTTTGTCCCAATTTCACTCAACATTTTGTCTTTATTGTTTGCCTGTGTAAAGCTCCTGTCCATTTTTAGATAGGCTTATTTCTGTTCCCAGGAATTCATTGCAATGCGGTTACATTTACATATATAATATTCATTCCAGGCAACCAAAAAAAAAAAAAAAAAAAAAAAAAAAAAAAAAAAAAAGAAAAATTAACACTTGGCCTAATTTGTTTCCTAATTGAGATCACCTGTTTCATAGTATTTATAAGTAAAATTGAGAAACTGGTACGAAAATCAAGAAAGCATTTGCTAATCAGAGTTGAAAATGGCAGTAAATGAAGCCATCACCCTTTTCTCGGTGGATTTTTTAGCCTGCTGGAAACAAAGCCCCAGTGGATTCTGGAGCTTTTATTTCCGAGCTCTGTGGATAAAGTGCTATGAGCAGCAAGATAACCATCTGCCCTAACTATCTCCCTAGGCTGGGGTATTTATGCATTTTGGTGTCTGTTTGCTGCTGATTCACCTTCTCTTTGCCACTTCTGCTGCTTATTTATCTTCTAGTCCCCAACATTACATTTATATGCAATTTCTTACTCGAAAGACTCTGGGCAATCCAAGTCATAGCTCAGTCAGTACAAACTGACATTTCTTACTTTGGAAGGCAGTTTCCTTGTGACAGAAACTGGATGTCAAATTAGCCCAAATTAGCCCATTATTTCTTAGATTTAATGGCCCCATCGCTTTCTCTGCGATCCCCCAGCTGGTGTGATTTCCCTTTCATCTGTACAATCTTCTTTCCACATTTTGCCAGGACTCTGTTTTAACTTGTACCACATTGCTTTCAGTGCCTCTCAGCTGAGAACAATCTCGAGTGCTAAAAGTTGTGACAGCTGAAAGACTGTTGCTCCCACAGGCTCAGGTTCATTGTGGGGAACAGAGCCAGACACGAGTATCCAAGGAAGCACGTGCTTCATCCCCTGCCCAACGGGCAACCTTTCCAACTTCTCTTCTTCAGCAACTTTTCAGACTTGGACAGAGGCCAAGGACAGTTTGAAGAGTTTCTAAAGTTTGGCTTTGAAGCATAAGTTAAGATAAGCATAAGCATATAAGTTAAGCATAAGCATAAGTTGATAGACTCCTTCTCTACAGTAATTTAGTAAACTTCCTTTGTTCAGAAGAGAGAAGATACTATAAATCCGTGAAATTTTGCTGCAAGGGAAGATCTGAAAGAGAGAAAACCCAGGCTTCTCATTGTTCAGCAGGATTTATTAACATTTAATATTAACCTAACATTCATTGCATCAGGTACCTAATAGACCGTGTCTTTTATGAGCAAAGTGCTGTGCAGGAGGTACATGTTTTCAATGTATATATTTTTCAACTTAGATACTTAATTGTGTGGATGATATCTGTTTGGTGAAGGAATTATTAAAAATCTACACCTACCCCATCCTTTTTTGGAATTAGAGATGTTATATGAGAGAAGGTTTGGTCTGGCTTTTCTCCCTGCCTCCAGCCTCCCTGACATAGTCAAGCCTCCATCATTGTCCCCAGTGAAAGGGATCACCGGTGTGGATAATCCAAATCCTCAGCTAATCCTCTCCGTGGGGTGGGGTCACAGGCCCACCGCTCAGGGCCACAGGCCTAATCACACCTAGGGCATGACCATGGCTCCCTCCTGGGACGTAGGGCAGTGGGCGGACACTGAGGAATAACTCCCAAGGCAGGGAGATATTCTGAAGGCAAATAGCCTCACAGGGATCATCAGGAGCCCCTCGTCCAGAGAACAAAAAAGGGTCAGTGGGTCTTCCCTCCTAGTCTCAAGAGCTGACCCTCTTGCCCTGGAATTCAGGGACTCATTGGTATTCAGGGATGGCCCAGTACAAGGCCAGCCTGAGGAAACTTGCCATCAATACAGAAGTGACCTCAGGTCAGACATAAAAGCGGGGGATGGTCCTGCTCAACCACAGGCACGGATGGTAGAGAGGAGCAAGATGGTCACGTGGGGGGTCCCTGAAGCCTCACACCGTGTCCCGGTGCTTGGGCTTCTACTAAGAGGGAGACTTTGGGATGCCAGTAATGAATGCGCAACTACATCTTGATTCTTAAGCTTCTGGGGACCTTTGAATTTGAGGTTTCTTTGAATTTGAGTTTAAGTATATTAAAGCCAAGAGGTACCACACAATGAGATTCTCATTTGAAAGTCTGTCAGTCACATTGGCCATTTGGAGCAGTCATCCCCCTCAAAATGTCAAGAACCTCTTTGAAGATGTAGATGGTGCAAGAAGGAATCATGAGCTGAGAAACAAAGAATACTTCTTTCTTTCCCCAGATAGCATTTTTCAGAATCTCAGTATCCAAACTATATCTTAAAATGAGCTTTGGGGGCATAGTTAATTTACCTGGTGTAGCCTATATTTTTAAACACATGAACATGATTCCCCATTTTGAGAAACACATTAACTCTTTCTTACTTTAAAGCAATTTTTGAAATAAAGGGTCTGCCAGCATCTGATATGAGGTGACTTTGGAAAAAAACCATTCCAGACTGTTGTCTTCCATTTTCCTTTGAAGGGGAAAACATTAAAGCATTAAATACTAACACATTTTAAGCCCACGTGCCCTGAAACATCTAAAAGAGGAGAAAATGATTATATTTGCAGATTAACTCTGCAAGGACAAAGCTGTGTAGATAATAATGTCACCTACTTAATAAATGCATGCTGTGACTTGGGCCTTGCCCCTAGCACCTGACAGACCTCTCATTTCATCTTCTGATTTAAAAAGCATTCTAATCAGATGAGGAAAGTGAGGTGCAGGAGAGTTTCACGACTTAATCTGGACCCCAGCATGGTAATGCCCCCCATGCCCAGCGTGCTGGCTGCTGTGTGACTGGGTGCCCAGGACGTGGCTCACAGTGCAAGGGTAGGGTTCCAGCAGTCGTGTGGTCCACATGGCCAGGTCCTCTTCCGCCCTCCCCGCCTGGATGCAGAGACAGTTGCTGTGTGTGGGACCCTTACCAATCTCTTAACCTAGATCCAGTAAACAAAAGTCAAAGAACCAGAGCGAGCCCTGGAAACTGCGCTTCTCCACAGTGTCTGTCCTGCCGTATTTTGCTTCAGCCGAATGAGGTTGAGAGGGGGGCCTGTCAGACTGCCTGGAAGCGGGTTTGCCTGCTCCCTTACAGCTGACATGCCATTGCTCACGGCTCAAGATGCAGCCTCAGCTAGTTGCTCTCTTCCCTTCATGAGCCGAAAAGATGGGCCTGATACCCACTTGGGTTCTAGAGAAAAGCTCAACCAACTTCACAGCCTGAGCTGATGGATTTGGGGCTTTCTAATGTGGCCTGTTTGTCTGAGTGGGGGGGGGGGGGTCTCCCCCCAAGCTTGCTGGTCTACCAGGCCGGGTGGCCAAGATCATTGAAGCTCGCTTCTTACCCTAAGCAGGAACGCCAACCTGTAAAAACTGAATATCACATGACTTTAAATGCGCATTCCTTATAAAATGTTTAAAGCTCACTGGATTTTATTAGAATATGTGAACCAGACTGAGTATATTAAATTTATGAGTCCAATTGATGCAGTACCATAATAATTCAATACAATATGCTTATGTCATTAAGCTCATAAAGAAGATTCTCTGAATAGCTGTAATGAATAGTTCCAATTCTGTAATCACAGACTAACATTTTCACCCTGATGAATTTTAACTGGGAGCTCTCAGAATTCTCTATAAAATCAAGAAATAAATGCCATATTTCAAATGATGACTACTTATTTCAAGTATTTACTTTAAAACCTAGGATGGATAGAAAAGAAGTACCTGCTAAGATAGAATTATTCATTAGAAATACTAAAAAGGTTGGAAAAGGTTAGTAGCATGGACTGTGATGTATGGCTAGTCATAAATTATAAATAAAAACCAATGAGACTTTTCTATTCTGCTTTGACTAATTTCATTGACTCTCTCATCCCTTACCTTCTTCCCACGCATATCTATTGTGATTATCTATCACCACGTAATAAACTACCCCAAAACTTAACTTCCTTAAAGCAGCCACCACTTTATTGCTTGTGATGCTGTGGTTCTGGAATTTGGGCAGGGCTTGGCCAAGTGGTTCATCTTTTCCAAATGTCAGGTATCATGTCAGGCCACTTACATGGCTGTATTCTGATCATGGTTCCACTGAGGACTGGGCTCAGATGGGGCACTGAAGCCTGCAAGGTGACTCCTTCACTGTCAGCTTTACTTCCAGTGTTTTCTCTTGGAAAACAGAAGGCCTGGCAGGATCCACGGATCAGAGAGAAGAGATGCTGTTGGAGCACAGTGAAGAAGCTGCAACATGAGGACAATTGGAGAGCCGATCCAGTGAGCAGTACATTCCAGAAGTGTGTCCCCCACGTAAATGAACCCCACATAGTGTGTGGTCCAGCCATGCTGGACTCTTGGTGGGACCCCAAACTGTTCATTGTCAACATGAGGCTTTGCACATCCCCCGCCCCTCTCCGCCCACCCCCTCTCCCCCCACTGCCGGGAATAGGCTTCTACAGTATCTCCTACGAGTATCTCTACCTGTCTGATTCTTACTCATCCTTCAGCTCTTGGCAGAAATGTCAGCAGTTCCCAGGACTAGGCTGGATGCCTTTTCTATGTACTCCAAAATCATCTCATTCCATATTTTAATCAGAGCTTTACTTGTCCCAAGTCCCTGGAATGCCTGCATGTGACTCAAGACGAGAACTGACCTTATTCACTACTGACTCCTCAGCAGCATGACATATAGAAAGCTCTCAGTAAATATTTGTTGGGTGCATGAATGAAGTCTCAAGAGGAGCCGACGAAGAACAAACCTTGATCCAGTCCTCAGAAGACAAGTAGGATTTAGATGAAGGATTCTGGACAATGAGGAGATGGTGCTGGGTGGCCCAGGCTCCTTTTCAGCACAGGCTCAGTGTCTGTTTTAGTCAATGTTGGACACCCAGTGCTTGGCACGCTGCTCCATGTAGGGCAGGTGTGTGGTAACTGTGGTGGATGGATGAGTTGCTTGAATTAAACCATCCTAATTTCATCAGAGTGTAGAGGACATTTAGGACCATGTCAGGAAAGGAACCCAGCATTTTTGATCCAGTGGAGACAAATTTTAGGATCCCTAAAATAGCCAGAGAAAGGTGTCGACTAGAATTTATGAGAGTTAGAACTGGGAAGACTTGAGTGAGTGAATATTGACCCCACTGGTAGGGGGTTGATTCATGATCCATGGCCAGTGGTGACCAGACCTCTCATGTCTAGAAATATCCCAGCATGTCTCCATCCCCGCTTGATTGGTCTTTGGAACCCATCAGTCAAGGATGAATTTTCCAAGTGCTACAAGGTAAATGAAACCTCTAAGTCTTATTAGACTGATCGTTATCTTTAAGCTGCCCTGGCTAATGGCTTCTGGAAATGAATTCCAGCGAACTGTCTTCCCTGTTAATATGTCACAGTGGAAAGGTGGATAAGGCCCTACTACATTTTTAAAGTACGTTTTAATAATTTCAATAACTTTAAATTACATTACAAATTTATGTTAAAATTTTGTGAGATGAAGGGGCTCCACAACAATGAGATGGCTGGGGAAATCATGAGAGTGGCACAGCTGGGTGGTGCATGCCTGTGAAATGAGCAGCAGACTACACTTACAGTCATGAGCCCTGTTAAAGCAAGCTTTTTAGTAACCTAAAATAGTCATGACTTTATCCCCCTGAGCATTAAAGCAAAAGGAAAGGAGCCAAAAAATAAGGTAAGATCTTTGAAACGCTTCTGAAGCCCTCTTATTCCCACGTGTTCTCTATGCGTGCGTGTGTGTGCACATGCACACACACACACACACTCACACACAGTAAATTCTGAGAGTCTGCATGGTATGGAGATCCCTAAAGAGAAGGGCTGTGTTTACATGCACATTTACTCATTACCTTTCAGGCTTAAGGGATTGCACCTTGTAAGTGATATTAAGCCATCTGACTTTCTCCTGAATTTAAAGACCAAGTTGTTTGTCAGCTTCTATAGTCTGTTGACATTGGCTAAGCCACTGCCTCTTGGGATCTCAGTTTCCTCATCTGTAAACAGGATTCACATACCTGTCCTCCTCCACCTCAGCATGTCTTAGGGGTCATGGGAGCTCATGAACTGGTAAGTGTTTTGTACAAAGTGCCTGAAGATCCAAATCCAGCATCCAGGCCTTCCACATTCTCCTTCAAGTCCTGCTGTTCCCCACACAGAGCCCTGCACATGCTAGCCTTACTTACTCCCTTGTTCACACAGTTTGCTGAGTTTGGGTACCACTCCGTCTTCCCTCCTTTCCAGATCCCAGACCTGAAAGGAAATGGCTGCAAGATGAGAAGGGCCACACTATCGAACTCCCTGCTGATCATGCAGGTTTTTGCCTGGAAGGACTATGGAGCATATGGTCGGTCCCAATGACCAGACTAACGTTTCATCCAGAAACTCCAGAATTGAAAAGAATAAGCCAGCAGAGGCCATCATAAGGCCAGCTTTTAGCTAGGTTGTTCCGGTAACTTAAGTACTTTTCCTTTCAGCTAGAGCAGAGCCTAAAATTACATTGTAAGGCACATATGAATCATGTTAACAAAATGACCTTCATCAAGAATGAAATAAAAATGAAAATAGCATGTAGCAGCACATTATATTTTCAATTTTTTTCCTCATGCAATGTATCGATTGAGGTACCAGGCTAAAGCTCTAAAATAATTGACTAAATTCTTGCTGAATTACCCTGTATTGCTGTAGGGAGTGTGCTTCACCTTTCAGAACTCATTAACACAGCCAGTAGACCATATTAGCCTGTGTTTTGGTTCAAAAGATTAATAATATTTAGTTGTTGTATTTTGAAATGGTGTTGGAATTTTGAAGATTGGCCTGCGTGTATATATCAGGCTTTGGGCAGGAGCTTTCCAGGTAAATACTTGGCCGGGGATGTACCACTAGGATGCACTGACCCATCAAAAATGTTAGTCACTAAAGCCTCCTAGGAGTGAGAGAAGGGTGACTTGGGCAGATCTTGATGTGACTACAGACTACACCCCCCACGGCCTAGGGGCTTGGATGTGGTATAGGTGGAAGGTTTCCTCTGATCTTGACTGGCACCTACCACCTGACAGTGCTCGGAGTTAATGTCCATTAACTTGTTTGCAAACAGTGGAAAATCACTGGGGCCACATTGTAAGCAAATGGCCTTCTCCACTCCCAGGCTTGGGAATGGCCCGACCAAAGTCTCTCCTGGAGCTGCCCCTCTGTGAGAGAGGTCCCTGAATTTCTTACACTCTTATAAATGCTCTATGGCAGTGGCTGTGAAGTCAATAAGAGATCGATTCCAGCAGATTCCAAGTGGTATCTCCAGTAGCTCTTTGGCAGTGAGGTGCCCATCCCAGAATATGAATGGGAAAAACTCACCAGCCCTCTGCCATAAGTCAGCTAGATAACCAACCCCCAAAGAAGGGAAAGCTATTTTTTCAGAAGGGAATCTGAGTGCTATTAGGGAAGGGAAAAGGAAGCAGGGCAGTCAAAACATGGCCAGTGCTCACCAAGGCTCTGTAAGGAAGATATCAGAGCATGAACAGGGTTACATTGGACTCTGTGGAGAAGAGTATAAGGCTCACAGCTAGAGGTCTTTTTCTCATGTTTGTATGGAACATTAACTCTAGAGAACCCAGAGGCCCCCTGTCTCTGTGAGAGCAGCCTCAGGCCTGGAAAAGGCAGCATATCTGGCTCAGTGTAGACAACCTTGCCTGGTGAGAGACAACAGTGCTCAGGACATGGGAGGCCCAACAGGATAAAACGGGGATGGTAGACGCTGGACAGCAGGCTGGTGATTGAGACCCAGCCTCTAGGGCTGAAAGATGTGGGTATGGATCTGGTATTCCCACCTCTGTGCTTCATGACCTTTGGGGCATTGCTTAAGCCTCTTGGTCCTCAGTTTCTTCATCTGGCAGATGGGTCCCATGCAGTGTCCCTATTTCATAAATAGCTATTTCATAAATAGCTCTTGTGGTAAGTAAATGAGATATACCATGAAAAGTTCTCACTGTGCCTACAACATTACATGCCCTTGATAACTGGCCTCTTCGTGAGAGCAACAAGATGGGAGCTGGTCAGACTGTTGTGTGTATGTGGGAGACAATCCTCAGGAAATAGAGTGGTCTTGGCAGGTATGAGTTGACCACTTTCCTTTGGAAAGGAGAGGTCAGGAGCCTGATGTAAGTGTCTCGAACAAGCTGTGTGTCCTCGTCTTTCCTGTGTTCTTTCGGCCTTCTTTTGAAAGGCTCGTGGTCCCCTCAGGATTTTGTCTTATTTGGAGGTGGAGATTAAAAGCACATGCCTATTTAACATTTCCATTTGGCACACCCATGGGTGGTCTCTCCCAGTTTCGTCTACGCCTGCTCATTGCCTTTGCATGGATTGACTTTAAAAAATAATAAGAGGGGTACCTGGGTGGCTCAGTCGGTTAAGTGTTTGACTTTGGCTCAGGTCATGATCTCACTGTTTGTGGGTTTGAGTCCTGCGTCGGGCTCTGGGCTGACAACTCAGAGGCTGGAGCGTGCTTCAGATTCTGTGTCTCCCTCTCTCTCTGCCCCTCTTCCCGCTTGTGCTCGCTCATAAATAAATAAATAAACATTAAAAAAAATTAAAACATAATAAGATATTCCCGCGGACTGTAGAAGAAAGGCACTTTATGGAATCAAGGTACTCTGTTCAGTACTGAAATGTGCGTTCAAGATCTGCCATCTAAGCCTGATTTTCTGAAAGTATCAACAAGAAAACACCTTATACTTTAGTGTTAGTCCAAGTAGCAAAAAGTAAATAACCTAGATAAATGTCTCATATATTTCTTAAATCTTTTTTTTTTTTTTTTTTTTTTTTTTTTTTTTTTTTTTTTTTTTTTTTTTTTTTGCCAAATCAATACATGACTCACAGAGTTTGATCTCCAATATTGCTGTGCTATTTGCCTTCTCTCCCCTGTGGCTTCTGTTCTCCCTTCCATCCCAAAACTTCCTCTCTCACCCTCCTCCAGCCGACCCCTCCATCTCTCAGGGCCCCTTTTGGCCCCTGCCCTTTCCTGCAATCACTCATACTCAGACCCTGTCCCAGACCCCTTCTTGCTCTGTACTATGGGTTTGCAATCTTAATTGAAAAAGGATTTGGCTTAATCTGACCTACATCCTCCAAGTACCAGGATGAGGCAGGGCCGAAATGTTGCGCAACCTCTGGGGATATAACCATCTATTCTCAATGGCCCTGATCCGAGTGTCGAATGAAGCAAGGACTCAGGTGAGATGCCCCCCCCCCACCCCGGCGGGCAGGGGTTACCGGCCCTCTGTGGTCCCGAACAGCAACAGATTTAAATACGTCTACTTTTGTTTCTTCTTCTTTTTTTTTTTTAATGGGGAAAATGCCATGTGAGAGAAACAGAAACTTGATATTGGATTTCACAAATCCTTTTCCTACTTTGCCCTTCTGACCCTGATAAGCCACTTAAACTCCTAATGTCCTTCAATTTTTGCAATACTTTTTTATAAAGTGCACTGCCCTGGGGATACAGCTTGGCCCCTGGACTTATTTTTCACATAGCAGGGAGGGCTAACCTTGACAGGAAGGCCTCTCATTTTCTCCCTTCAGCCACAGATGCCATAGAAAATTACTAATGTAAATATGTGTATATTTAAATATGTATTTTATGTATAATTGTAACGTATATTAAATATATGCAAAGGTCGAGTTCTAGTTCATTGGCTGATCTAGGCCTGAGCCTCAAATCCTAAAGGGAAACTTTTTTATTGGAGAAAGAGTGATAAGCTTGATTCACCAGACACCGCGTTATGTAGAGGCAGATTTTATCACTGAGGAAGAGCTCAGAGAGAAGAATCAAACTAGTCACCGTTGCTGGACTATCTGCAAAAGACAGTCAGTGGGCATGTGCACATGCAGAATACTATACAGCCATGATCATGAGCAAACTACAAGGATGCCCAACAGGGTGAGCGAATCTCCCAAGCTTTGTGTTACACACAGGAGGCCAGACACAAAAGAGAGTGTCCTGCGTGGTTCCAGTAGTGTGAGCCAC